AGTTTTGAAAAGTTGGTTTATGACTGCTTAGGGATGGCTCATTGCTGGGCCCTAGTTGGGCATAGACTGTTTTCTAATGCTGCAAAAGGTTTGATGCTGCAGGTGTAGTCAGAGTATGTGCAGATTTTGGCAAAGCAGTGTTTGTGGAGTTGCAGAAGTCTTGCTTTCTGCATGCCCATGGAATTGGTTATGTACAAAATGGTGTAGAAAAAGCTTTCTATAAAAATGAGGAGTGTCAGTGATAGCCCACAAGACAGAGCATTTGGCATGGAGAAGTTAGTGATGGGCAAAGGAAATTGTCTACCTGACTGAGTCAGACTTGGAGCTAAGAGTTTTGTGGCCATAGACCTATCTGGGGTGAAGCAGAGGACTCTGATTTACTGCTGAGCTGTGCCATTGCAGAGAGCAGTTTGAGAGTACTTGGGTCATAGCCGTGAGAAGGTGACTGTTTCTTTAGAAATTAGGTCACTGATCTCAGAGGTGATACCCTAGTTGCCTACTTTGGCTTCAGAGCCCCTCTGTGCATTTTGCTGAAGGACAGTCTTGAGAGTACAGTTGCAAACTGCTTGGATTACAGTTGACACTTAAAAGTTGGAGAGTCATACTTACACTGGTTCTTTTTTGTCTGTACTTGCTGTAACAGAAGAATTGGAGGTGCCTAATAGATCCTTTTCAATCAGTAAGAGAGAAAAAAGGCTTGGATCTTGTGGTGCATTCTGCATACACACAGTGTAAGAAGTAGGTGTGATGTCACCTTTTCTGGTTGTCCTAGTAACAAGTTAAGCTGTTATTCAAGAGAAATGTACTGGGATCTGCAGACAGGATAGATGGAAGAACTCTCACTTTTGGATTTGAATAAATTGTAGCATGAATTGTTTGTTGTTATCAAGGCTGAATGCATCTCCATGTGGCCAGAACAGTGCCAGGGTGCAAATGCACAGGACTAGACTGGGTCTAGGTGAGGAAAATCAATACTGCAAGCAGGAACTATAGAAAAGCCTTGAGATTTACACCCATCACTTCATTGGCACTATCTAAATATATGATCATTTGTGTGGCAGAGAGGTGTAACAATGGGCAAGTTGCTCAGTCTAGGAGTAACTTTTCAATGCCAAATTCCAGCCCAAAGCTGCTTTAAAAAAATAAATAGTTGTAGGTGTATTTGGAAGGAAAGGCTGTGGAACTATCACACAGCTATTCTAGCCCTGTGCATTTCCCTCTTCTTAAAAGTACTTGAACTACATTCTTGGCCAACCCCACAAACCTTGAAGCCAAAATGAAGGAAATTATTTGGTCAGAAGTAGGAACTTCATAGTAAAACATCATTGCAGTTCCTACACATAACCCACACTGCTGTTGGGGGCTGCTGAATCTGTGAAAAAGGATGAGTTGCTCAGTACTCGTTCATCAAGAGATTGGGCAGAAAATATCCTAATTGTATAGTACTAAATATGCTATTTTAGCACTAGTGACAACTGCTGAGGGTAGGAAGATGGAAAATACCCCATCCTGGTAAAAGCAGAGTGTAAATCATATAGTTTCCTTGCCTAGCCAGTGACTTAGAACAATCTCAGTTAGAAGTAAAGTTTCCAGAAAGGTTTGCAATTGTATTTCTAGGTGATATGTTAATGAACATATCAAGCTGATTGCTCAGGCAAGAATACCCAGTAATTAGCAGTTATGTCTGTGGTATGAGTCTTATGAGGCAGACAACCACTTTGGAGAACTGTCTGCAGTTTAGCTTGCTGGTGGCAAATGATTCAGGAAGAGTTTGGGAATTATTTTGGATTGGCTCAGTAGTACCATAAGCCACTGTAAAGGAGGATTTTGAGGAGAGCTCTCTAGACATAATCCAGAAAGGATGTGTCTATCCTGTCTGAACTCAGGGGGTGAGCTGCAGTTACTGGGGCCCATTAACCTGTTTGACAGAGCAAGGAGATAGTGTCCCTGCCATCAAACCATGGAAGGCAGTTGTACTGATTTATTTCTTACCACAATTAAACTGGAATCACTATATGACAGCAAGAAGGTTTAAGAGTAAGTGAAGTCACAGCTCGAGTGTTTTAAAAATGTCATGCCTGTAGTGCTAACATTCTCTCTTTTTTTTCATCAGTCTTCTGTGTCTGTTTGCTATGTGCCTTGCTGGAAGGTCACTGCAGAACTAAAGAGAGAGCAGAGCCTTTCTATGCTGATCAAGTTTGCTTCATACCTGATGGTTTGTAAAAAGCACTTGGTGTGATAGCAATGCCTGTCTGTACTTAAAGAAAAAAACTGGGATGTGAAAGCCATGTTGTTAGCCAAGGAGATATTGAAAACCTGATAGCAATGCTGACATTTTTAATTATGTAAAAGATCTTGTTACAATTCAGATTACTAGAGCTAGGAATGGGAATAAACAATCATTTGGGAGTGAAATTTCCTGTTGTAAGACATTTACAGAAAAGCCACAGGAGAAGGGTTACAATGGGGTTTTACTGGTAGTTAGATTATTCTCCCTATTTAGGTGTGAACATGGCCCATCTGTTCGTGGAACTTTGAGTAGTAAAATTTCAGTGTGTGCAGGGATACAGTGTTTTTGCTTTAAAAGTTGCTCAGGATTATTCTGTGGAATTAATCCCGAAGAACAGAGCTGTTGTAAACATGTGGAGTTAAGCTGCAGGACTTTATTTTTTTTTATTTTTTTATTTTCATTTTTTTCCAGAGGAGAGGTCTCTTAGAGTTGCCTGGTGAAAATCATACCTCAGAGGGCATCACCTAATTGTTCACAGCACTGAAAAATTCTAGTCTCCTAATCTATGGGAGAAGTGCAAAGTGTGATTTTTTTTTATTATTTTTTTTTTCATGGACCCAAACTAATAATTCACTAGTTCAAATCGTGAACAGGTTTTTGCAAGAAACTTGTGAAAAGGAAATAGCAGGAAGAGAGTGATCTATAAAACAACAGGAATAGGAAATCTGCCAGTGTCAAAAGCTTTTTAGAGGTCTGGTCTTTGAGTGGAAGGTCAAATTCACTTGTGTTCATGTGGAAAACTTGAGGAATGGATGAGTTTGGTGTGTGGCTGTAGCTGCAGGGAAAGAATATGCTATGGGGAGATGCAGGATTAAGGAATGGAGAACTGTCATTGTGCCTAGTTCCATCGAATACAAGATTCCTTTCTCAAGAGGGAAGGAGAAGGAAAAATGTTAATTATAGCCATGGGAAGGGTCATATCTGCCTCAGCTTTGGGAAGACTGCAGGAGGAACATGGACAAAACCAGGTCTTTGTGGGGAAGATCAGCTGAGAATTCAGTGTTGTAAAGCTGATCAGTGGCAGCACCCTTGAGGCTCCTTGACAGCAGTGGTTTGTCAACAGAGACAGAGCTCCCTTCTTTTTGCAAACTACAGTAATAAAGATTGTGCTGCTTGATCTGTGTGCCTTTGCTGTTACAGCGAGAACAGCCTCTAGCTCCTCTTCCTTCTCGAGAAAAGGCTCTACCTGCTGTGTTGATTGATTGAAGCTCACTGGAGACACAGGAAGATTTAACACTCACTTGAGGGCTTCTCTTCATAAGTTTAACGAGATAGATAGCCTTAAAACACGTTTCAGAGTTGAGATTTGCAGTGGGAGAACACAAAACAAGGAAACCCCTGCATTGTTGGGATGGCAGCGATGTTGTGACAGTAGAAAAGAATTGCTTTAATTAAAAGCCTCTGAGGACAGGAAATCCTTCTTTCTGAGCACAGCCCAAACAAATGGTGTTCTGCTGCTGTGCACAGCATTCACTAGCACAGTGGCCATCACCTCTGCAGAGGTGTCTGCTGGACCATGTAGGTGCTTATTTCCAAAGTCTCCAAGGACTGAACAAGTATCTGCAGGTCCTGTATGTTCAGGACCTATGGATCGTATTCCTGCTTCACTCCCTCCAAATCCAGGCTCAGTTGCTATGTATTTATTCTGGGACCATGCTACAGAATGCAGAGACACTGTTCTCCAAGGGAAGAGGTTTCTCTGAGGGGATCCTGTTCCTGTGCTTTTCAGGAGGAAAAAAAACCCCAAACTTCTTGAGAATTCCATAACCAAAAGGAAGAGTGATTTTATTATCCTTAGAAATATTTTTGTAACTGCAAGGCAATATGAGCAAACCTCCATTATCTTATCTGTTTGCGTTATGTGTATGTTTTTCCAAGACACAGTCTCTACTGTATCATTGTCACAATTATTTTCCACTGTGACAGGAGAAAACACAACTGTGTGTTTTAAAACCTTTATAAACCATGTTAAAATAACAGGTATGTGCATCAGAATGTCGTTTTTTTTAGTTAAAAACAATTTGAGAAATTATAAATTAGATTATCAATTAAAATTAAGCTACATTTGAAAAGGGAAGATGTTCAACTCAGAGAAGACAAATTCTGTACAAATTGAAATTTTTCTTGTTGATGGTATTAAACGTCAAAGACAAGCAAGAACTGAGATTACCTGGAAAAGTACTTATAAGATTTTTTTTAAAAAAATTAAAAGGGGAGGGGGGAGGATGAAAGTTTTGCTGATAATCATTCTCCTTTTACTCTTGCTTACTTGTCTGTGTGTGGCCAAGGAACAAGAAAGGGAAAAAAATGCTCAAAAGACAAATTAACAGCATAGAAAGCTGTAATTACTTAGACACCTTAACTCAGACATGTTCAGCAATAGAAACAAAACTAATTTTCAAACTAATTGCATTTCAGTTATAGCTATTCAAACACTTCATTCTGAGAGGTGAAGAATTCCGGTTATAAAATGCATCATTTGATATACATTATGTAAATCAAGTTTGTCATATTTTTGGTTCCAAACAGAATCAAACTACAGAAAATTCCTAAGCAGAGACTGTGCTGCTCCTGCAGAGCTGTTAGCAGTGTCACTGCCGAGGTGTCTGCCTTAATCACCACCATTGTTTTGGGAATGTAACTGCTTTTGCAAGTTTTCAAGAGTGAATCCTGTTGTAGAGCACTAAGTAACCTTTGCTTCGTGTCACAGGAATTATGTATCGCAAGTCCTGCGCGTCCTCCGCGGCGTGTCTGATCGCCTCTGCTGGGTACCAGTCCTTCTGCTCTCCAGGGAAGGTGAACTCTGTTTGCATCAGCTGCTGCAACACTCCACTCTGCAATGGGCCCCGGCCGAAGAAGAGGGGCAATTCTGCTGTGGTGCCAAGGCCACACGTGATAACTACAGTTCTGCTTCTTAAATTTGCCCTGTTGGTTTTGTATTGCTAAACTTCAAGCAAGTTTGTTTGGCTTGCTTTTTTTTTTTTCCTTCACCCTGACACAATTTGTTCTGTCTTTCTTCAAAGACACTGCAATTATTTTCTGTTTGTTTCCAAATCCCTGTCAACAGCAAGGGGAGTTCAGTGGTTGTGTGGAGAGAGGGGCTGATATTTTTGGCAGCTAATGAGTTCAGTTAGCAGATTGAATTTCCAGTGTGCACTTAAAAATCCCAGCAGGATACAGAACTCCTGCTCTTTTTGCATAACTGGAAACAAATCCATCTGTGTTATTCCTTTTAAGATGTAGTCACTTTCCTCGGTCATTTTAGTTTCCATTTTTTTAAGTTCATTACTGATCATTAACTTTGCCTTACGAAGTCATACTTGATGTTCATGAAGGCCGTTGGGTGTGTCTGGACCAGGCTCCGAACCAGTCTCAAGGGGCACTGCCTCCAGGCTGGACTCTGGTGGTTCAGGACTTGGCTTCTGTGAGCTGCAGTCCGACGTGGGCTCCTTCTGAAAGGTGCTTAAGAAAACTTTGGCGTTGCCCTTTGTGGAAGAGTTGCGCCGAGAGGACATGAAGAGCAGGGGCCGTAGGGAGCGGCCGCTGAGCGCCTTGGAGCTGCGGTTGGTCCTCAGAAACCTCTCCCTGTTGGCGTGTTGGATGGTCAGGCGGCAGCGCAGGATCTGCAGGAACACGCTGCGGAACTGCTGGGAGGAGATGTTGTACAGCAGCGGGTTCACCACCGAGCTGAGGTAGAAGAAGATGTCTGCGATGGGAAGGAGAGTGATGTAGGCTTTGAAGTAGAAAATAGTCCA